AAAATGCGTTTTTGAATAGTGATTTTTGGAGAATGTGCGGTTAAAAACTAAGAAAAAAAATTTCAATTTACGTGTAATATTATTTTATTGAAAAATGTGTGGTTGAAAATGAGTTTTGAAAAAAATGAATTTAAAAAAAAAAAAAAGGGGCTCAAACAACCCATTTTTTAAATTACATTGAAGATCATTAACTTTTATTCATTATCACACTTATATCGTCAATTTTTTTCTTTATCGTATTCTTATTTTTATCATTTTATTAATCAGAAAAACTTCTCAATCGTGATTTTCGTCCAAAAACATTGTTAACATGCTTGAGAATGAAGATCAATTTGCAAAACTATTTGTTTTGCTTATTCAAAGATAAAATGCGCAAATAAATCTTTTTATTTTATTTTAATAAAAATTTTGGAGAGAAACCATAATCGAGAAAAATTTATGTTAATTTCAGAATAAGAATACGATGAAAAAAGTATGAGACATAAATATAATAATGTAATTAATAGGACATGAATGAAAATTTGTCACATTGCAAAGTAAATTGAAGTCATTTTCAAAAATTTAAATTAGTTTGGCATTACTACCTCTTTTGCAGTTAGGAATAAATATTTAATTTTACTGCCAAACGTGTAAAATTTGTGTTTAAGAATTCAAATGAAAGAAATATCTTATAAAGAAACAAGCAATGAGGTCACTGATTGCAAAACCAATTCTTAATTTTTTATTTTTTTTTTTCAATTTGCATTCCTTTCATTTTTCAAATTTTTTTTTTTATTTACAATTTGAAACTATGTATAATCCGAGTTTATAAGTTTTCTCAAGCTCGTCGACATTAGCAAATTGAAGGAATCTTAGAAAAATGGCCCGATTGAGACCGGCCATTTGAGAAGAAAATACGATAAGATTGAAGTATGTACTATCTTACCTTTTTTGTTATTATCTATTTACGACTTTTCGTATTGGATTGATGGCTCATTACGACAATTACCACGGGAGGAAATTACAGTCATCCATATTTTCTAAATTTTCATTTTAAAAATTAGAATTTAAATTTATTCTTTTTAAAAATCAAGTAT